CACCACAGTACACACGTGCAAGGCATCACGAGGAGCCCGCCACATCGCTGCTGTGGTCGCAGCGCTTCAGAGGTAGGCAGTCAGGTGTCAACCTGCAGGAATCAGAATTCTATTTTCATTCCCTCACCTGCTTTAACATGTTCATCCCAAACTACCAACCTTTTTAATACTAAAACGGACTTAAATTGGCAAATAGAACAAGCATCTCTCTTCCCCAAGAAAATGACAAGGAGAAAGGAAACTAGGCGCGTGTGAGAGCCTGGACACCGTCACCCCTTTATAGCTGCGTATGACAGCAGCACAAGGCTCCTCAGCATGCCTGGGTAACGGGGTAAGGTGGGGCAGGGCAGCAGGAGTCCTCTGTGGAAGGATGAGCAGGGGAATTACAGGCAATTCTGAATCAAAAAAAGCACAGTATGGTACAGCACAGCACTGCCTCTCTGTATGGTCACCTTTACAAATGAAAACTATTTCAGGAAAGAAAAACTGGTTTCAAAAAAGGCTGGATTTATCTAAGAAACACCATGCTGCTGTCCTCTGCATTTTTTTTAAATAACTAGGAATGTGGCTATGCAGCGTATTACTTCCAAATCTGTGCCTTTGTCTGTCATCATATAAACCCAAAGGTTAACTTAAGAATTCAAAGATTTATCCAAAACCAGTATTTTAACCACTTCAAACAGCTAATGCTTTCATAGGTGTTCCCAAAGCAAAACAGATTCAAATTAACAAAAGGAGGGACTAAAAATTAGCAGCTTAAAATAAGACATTGACCTGCCCTTTATTCTAATAGTTTGGAAAAAAGTGAGAAAGTATCTCAGGTTTGACTCCAGCACTGATGGCTTTGCAGTGATGACTATTTAGGCCGTGATGATGCTTTTACGGAAATGCTGGTAAGGGACCAAAGCCTCCTTCCTCACCGAGTCGCCATTATCGTTCCACTGCCTCATCTTTTTGGGGGTCTAAATGCCTCTGCCCAGAGCAGTTAAACACTTGGCATCTGTAAGGCCTGGGTCAGTCTTTGGTCTGTCCACTCATATGCCATTAAAGGGAGAGAAAACCCTGCAGCTCCTCAGCTAAGCATCAATAGTTGGAAGTAGAATTGTGCCTACAAACTGCTCTTCTGTCGGACGCTTTTGCCTTCCGATATAAGAATAAGCAGCTTTCCATATGTTTCTCCACATCACACTTACTAGCATTGCTCTATTACCAAAATCACTGCAATTCTGTTAGCCAGCAACAGCAGCATTTAACTGGCTTCTGTTACTGGGGTAGCTTTGTGCGAGTGAGTGGATGTACACTGGGAAAACAGCGAGCACAGGCCCCCGAGACGGCGACTGCAGCCGACACACCGAACAGCTACTCTGATGGTAAAAACATCCTTCCTGTACCGGTCCCACACAAAACTGGGGATTGACATCTTGCACAGACTCGCTACGTCAGAAGGAACTCCCCGTTCCACGAATGCCATACGTATGGCAGAGTTCAGGCAGAAATACGCAGGACTCCCTTACCACAGCCTAAACACCAACAGCTTTAGAAGTACCAGGCAAGGCTCAACCACAGTAAAATCCCCTCCTTAACAAGGTTTCCACTCAGCCTTTAACTAAGCCACCTGAAACATGTCAGGAGGCTCTGTGCCCCCTCAAATGCTCAGTTAACTTTTTTCCTTCCTATTTATCCACACAGTACCTTCATTAGAAAAAGCGACCTAGGCTTCGTTCTTGGAAACTGGAAGTTGCTTTTTTCACTGTTTCTCCAAACTTGCATCAAGCCTTCTTTCACACGTCCCGTCCCCCCCACCCCCTCAGTTCATGAACAAAGTTTGCTTAGTGGCAGCTTACGTTTGATATGGACTTGACACCACAGTACCGTATGTTCATATGAACATCTGATAACCTGTGAAACAGAAATCACATCTCCCAGTTTGTAAAGCATTAGCTACCTTCTCTCATATTTGCAGACTAAACATAGCACTTGCTTAAAAAGGAAAAGTTAACATCCTCTTTATTATCCTCATCTGTCCCTCCAGATGTATCTGAAGCAAAGTATCAGAGGGTCTACACGTGCCAGCCCTCTTCCGTGTACAAGCCAAACACCTTTTCCATCCCCCTCTGACCCCCCGAAGAAACATGCACTTCAAGCTGTGAGCTAGGCCAGGCCAGTGTATTTGAGGTTCTGCTACAGAACAAACATTTCTATCTTTGCTTTTGGGAGAGAAAGAGCTTCCAGAGATATTTCCAATACAGATCCTCTGTAGGGATAACAAGCTTCTACGTTTGGGCAAAGGAATGACACCAGGATGCAAAGCTGAACACTTGTGAGGCAGCTGAGATGTGGGACAGAGAGAAGAAACGACCAATTGGTTACATACTGCGTTGTTTCGGTCAGGGAGGGGTTCTTCTCCCTTCTGTGATCCTCAAGATCGGTGTTTGTGCAGGCTCTCGAGCGCAGGCGGCCCAGGCGGCAGGCAGTCCGCTCACCCAGCTGCTAGCAGGTGCCGCAGCACCGCCGTGAAAGAGCAAAGCTGGTTCCAGCACGAGACAGCATAAAAAGGTGGAGAGGAAGAAACTCCCAAGGCTTTTATATTATAAGGACTTGTACTGCGCTTTCAATGATTTACCTCCTGTAATACGTGCGTGGGGGTCAGGGATGGGTGCGTGTCTCTGGGCTGGCGTACGAATCACTACATGACAGGCACAGCGCTCCGATGGCGCAGAACTGGCCCAGAAGTGTAATCAGATGCTTACATTGTCCAACAAAATCTGGCTTGCTTAATTCCCAGGGGAACTTGCAATATCAGTGTTCCTAGTGCTACTGCTTTAAATGTGTGTGCATGTATTGTTCTCAATCAACAGCTTTACCAGACACTTTACCACAAGCATTGCGGAAAACTGGGCTGTATTTATTTAAAAGCTAACTGCAGTGAAGCATGGGGAAATAAACCCCCTCGGTTCTGCAACTGACCAAAATCTTGATGTATTGTTTATATGCTTTATTTAGGTTAAAAGACAACTCTCTCCTATAATTCTGCATCTAGTAGGACACAGTACAAAAACTGTAAATGCAGGTGTATGAGCTAATGCTGTAGAATACGTCCAAGTGTGACAGTCAGTAAAAAAGCGTTATTCCCAGACTAGGCCTTTAGCCACAAATAATCTTTCAGTCCCTCAACTGAATCCTTCTTGTGTCCACATCGCATGTGAGCCCATGCCTGTCACTGCACATTCTAAAACATGCATCTCGCTTGAATTTCTGCTTTTGAATGTAGATTTGATAAAACAACATCAAAAATGCATAAATAGTTAATTATTTTACTCTTTATAGATGTGGAAAATCCAGATCCCAGCCCTTTGAGACACCACACAAGAGTTTTAATTCAGCCCTACGTTGTCTGGAGCTGCTGACCGAGGGGTATTTGTTATTCGCATGAGTGGCGTTAATTTATTCAACTGAGAAGAAGCTGTAAGAAAAAGAAGAGCAGCTCAAGGTATGTCTCTCAGCAGAATTAAAAGGTTTATGAAGACCACACACCCAGGCTTAAGGACAGGTGTTTTGATGCATTTTGTGTTCAACCTTTTCTTACCAAAGCCGACGAGGAGCACTGGCTCCCACCACGGCTGTGTGTGGCTCTTGCTAGCGTCAAGGGGGAGCACAGGGGCTGGAACTTCCCCCAGAACCAGCATTTGGAGAAAAAGGAACACGGCAGGTGCTGGGTCTGAGGACACGGACAGCAACAGGCAGCACAATGTACGTAGTGACTGCCTTGCCCGGCAGAAAGAGCAGCCTGGTTTCCCTTTTCAGCAGGGCTGAGAGTTAGCATATGCTGGGTTCTGTATGCATGCGTAATTAAGGCCACCTGAGCCTGTGAAAATGTAACAGTCTAAACCAGAAGCAAACAAACATTTCCAGGTGACCTTTGAAAATGAGTAAACAGATAAATATGACCTGATCACCACAGTCTACTTTGACAGCCTTCCTAATCAATTAGGGAATAATCTTTTGTCTTATCTCGAACATGAATATAGGCCATATAAAATATTCCTGGTATTATTATAAAAAGCTGATTGAGGAATTACACCTTATTGTTGTATCATGGTCTAATCTTGATTCCTGTTATTGAAAAGAAATAGCAACTTGAATACCATGAGAAGTTACCTGTGCTTAACACTTCCATGATTAGTACAGGTTACAAACATTGATTCTGAATGTAGAGCCTTTCTACCAAATAGGATCAGGCCCGTCAGCAGACCTGCACGACTACAGAAGGCCAGAACTTATACCTTTGTGTGACTCTGCTCGGACGCTCACAAGCAGGAGGAGAGTAGGGTGCTACTCTTCGTAGTTACAAAACACACCGAACAAGAATCGGGTGATAAATCTTTTCATCTTTCAGGAGACTGTTTCAGATTTCAAAACATCTTCTCTAAACCTGATTCTGTAACTTTTTAATTGTGAATTGATTAAAAAAAAATCAGCTCCGACAAACAAAAGGTAGCTCAGGTACCACCCAGTCAACTGGGTCAACACATTGGTTACTTGAAATTGCCCAGCTACTGCTGCTGCATGCCCTGCGCATGTGGACTTTCAGCTGGAAGCAGCATGTCCGCTCGCAGCAGGCCTTTCACTCAAAATAAACACTCCTCCAGACCTGTGCCTTTCAGGGGTTTTAACCGCTCTGGGCAGCTCCCGAGAGCAGCGCTACTAACTGGAGGTGACCTTGCTCCACAAGTGTTAGCTTGACCTCACGACACTTCAAAGAATTCTTTTATCGTGCTTCAACTTTGCACCCTGATGCCACCTGCTCGTTTCAAATCCATCTCCTCTTGTTCAGTGCACGATAATTCTCTCTCTTTAAAGCATTTCGTTACCATTTGTGTGTGTGTAGCGAGGGGGTCAGGGAGGTCCCTTAGAAATCTTGTAGCAGGAACTCAAAAGGTAGTGATGTAAGCAAGAAATAGAAATGCCATAGCCACTGAAGAGAAGACATGCGGCATTGCTTACTTAAAGCCCCATCCTGTCCCCCCAAGGACAATAGCTGCTACCAGGATGGCACCAGCGATGGAGCCTATTATAAGATTGGTGGCACTAGGACCTGTGATAAAGGATTATGGTAAGACAGACATAAGAACCAACCACTTTATTCACATTACGTGAAGCGACTGAAGGGTAGTCAGACAATCCCGGAATACAGACAGCACACAAGGTGATGTCTCTAGACAATCTCACCAAGCCCAACTTACTTTTCTTTAACAGGAAGAATGAACAAAGCTGCTGGTCTCAGCACTGTGCTCTGACTTCTACCACAGACACAAATCTAGGGTTAGACAGTAAATTCCATTGTGACTTACTCTGGTACCTAGGGAGTGAGCTGTCAACTGAGGCTGCCAAGATACCTGTGAATGACTCCTTAGCTTAAAGGAAAAAGCATGAAAAAGCCTAGCTCTTGTCACGGACACTCGGAGAAGCAGTAGATCTTTCACTCTGAGATGAACACATCTAGCAGCGCTGGCTAATCAGAGCCCAGGCTCCCTACCGTTACATCAATGCTAAGTTTACAGTCGTCTGACAAAAGCAAAGGATTATATAATAAGGAACAAAAGTTGAAGTGAAAGCTGTATTCCCATTAAGCTTTCCAAACATCAAAGCATCTCTGACATCCTCAAGAAGCTATGTAACGACAGAGTGAGGAAGGGTGGAGCAGGAAAAGAGCAACAAAAAGCAGCAGCACAAAATAATTTGTGCAATTTTCTGAAGAGGGCATGAACACCTAAATAAGATATTCATAACTGACCCTTAAGTGCTCTATTTACGCAGAGTGGAGGAAAACTAACAATAGGCTTGAGTAACATTTTAATTGCTCTGTATAAAAATTTCCTATTGAGCACTCTTCGATGTGAAGTTAATTGCATCCGAGCTCAAGGCAAAAACGAAACCAACCTGACAGTTCTCCTGCAGCATACTCACACTTCTTGTTCCGACATTCACATACCCTAAATAGCCTTCAAAAACGGCTCTTAGCTCCTATCCCCGTCTCCCCACACCGAGCAATTGAAGTTCTCCTATTTTAAGTGTTCTGAAACCAAGTTTGGAAAACTGTCTGCTAACATAACGAGAAAAAAGGAGCAGCCAGAGATCAGCAAAGTAAAGAGCAAGGGTAGCTGCGAGAACTGAGCTTCTAAGCTGTCAGATTGGTATCGCAGAACCTTCTGCCCAGTCCCGGGCCCTGCAGAAGGGCATGCCCTCAGTTTCAGAATGCGCTGCAGCACCCCGACTCCACTGCATCCCCTACGCGCCTCCCCCAGCAGTGCCTCTGCACATCACGTTAGCTAAAAGAAAACCAACGTTTAAAAATCGCTTCCTGCAATTCCTACACAAACAGTAACCAGTAATATTAATACAAGACTTGGACAGAAAGGAAACACAGTGAGCTTTACAGATAATTTGAAAAAAATCAGATTTTCACAATTAGGAAGCACATATCTTCTATTTGGACTTACCTGTAAGGTCACACCTGGCTCAAATCACCAGGAGTGAGCATGGTGGAGGGGAAAGTAATGCCATTCCACAGGCCTTATATTCCTAATTAAGTTTTGCTTTCAACAGCAGCCTAATGAGCCGCTGTGTCTGACTCGGAGCTATGGCTTACTCTGGATTTTATCAAATGGTTGCACACAGCAGTAGACTGAAACCACAGCAATTAATTTATCTGTCATGAATTTTAGAAGCCTTGGAAAATTCTAAAGCCAATTTCTTTCTAGCCACAGAATGCTCTCTTCCCACCAAAGAGGCACAGTGGTTAACTGACAGTAACGTGACTCAGACAAGGAAGTACCAAACCATCAGTTTTTTACATCCCTCTTCTTACTAGGTTCCCTGGATATTAAAATGTTCCAGGGGGAAAGGGAAGACCTATTTCCTAGTACACATCCATTCAACAAACAACAGTTTGTTCTTTCAATACAGAAAATCAGTATTGGCTTTATTTACTATAAATATGGAAGAATTCTGTCCAAATTTAAACTGAAGAGGATAACACCCAAAACGATTAGGTTCAGTAGAAAGTTACTAAAATTCTGTTAAATAATAAATGGGTGCTGATAAAACCACTTTTTAGATCTGACCCAATTTTCTAAAGTGTCAGTGACTAAAGCAGCGATGGTCATTTTAACACAAAAACACCCTGGAAATGAAATGCCTGTGAGAATTCTGCTCTCTGCTAGAGAGCCTAAGCACCGAGCAAATGACAGATGGCTGTGGACAACAGCACGTCCATTCCTCCGGAATAATTTTAGCACTGCTTCACAGTATGCTGGGAGTGGCAGCTCCTACGGCTGCAGAGACAGCTGTTGTTTTCCTAGTAAAGAAAGGCTACATTCAGGGTGAAGTGTCACCGATCGTCAGTAGGACTACAGCCTCATTTCCGACTTCAACATAAAGCCAGTTTTGAAATACGGAGACCCAAGAGGATTACTAGTGAGCTGGTTTAAGACACGACAGACTGCAGACAAAAGCACTTACAGTGGAACTGCTTTTACATGTTACACCACACCTTAAGGACCCATGCCTTATGTCTGATTAACCTTATCACGGAAACTGTATTATTAAACCAGATTTTTTCCACCAGCATGAAGCCACTTTGCATCAGCTCTGTGTCAGCTCGTGACCTTTATGAAGTATAAATCACTGTTTCAGCTAAATAAGCTCCTCTAGGCACTGGGCTCAGGTGTTTGACAAAACCATGCAAACCGCAGGTAAGAGGAAGGTTTTAGCAGCCACCACACTGCGGGGTCATGTCCCACCCAGACTGGGACATGGTTGCCGTGCTGCTGCTGTCACCTGCAGGCTCAGATGGACCAGGAAGAAGCCCCTGCGATAACTGCACCATAACGGCCTGGCACACCGCCCTTTCTTGGAAGGCCCCTCCTGCTCTGGCAGAGCTATCATTTCCTCTCCTGTCCTCTTTTAGGACTGATACAAATCCTACTGAGAGTGTTAGAACACACCTTTAATCTCAGTGGACCTCAGACTATGCCCTAAGTCATCTTCATCATCACAGGTTCTACAAGAATTAACACGCACTGCTTTGAAACCGCTACCTGCAGGAGGTTTGCCTTGACTGCGCGTTTGTATCTGAAGGAACCGGTGGACAGAAGACAGACTGATGGGATCCAGGGAAGAAGAATGGATAGAAACAGAAGAACGAGCCAGATAGCGAGTGGCAAGAGGAGAGGAAAGATGAAGAAAAGCTGGAATTAGAGCAGAAGGGTACAAGAGCAAGAGCAAATGGTCAGGGACACTGGTCAGCGCTGCGTGGACGGAGGCAGCAGGTAAGGGAAGATAAAACCAGAAGGGTACAAGGCAGAACGTAAGCAAAAGGCAAATGGTCCTCAACCTGTAGGTAAACTTTCTGCTCCAGAATCTGGGGCCCAAACCTCTACAGCCTTCACAGCCTGAAGTTTTTAGCCAACAGCTGCAACAGCCACCAGTAAAACACCAATCTGATCTTTCTCCAGCAGACAATCTACGACCTTCTTCCTTCTGTTCGGTTTTTATTAGTTGTCCTCTGTGAGTGCAAAGGTCTCTAACTCTCCTCAGCGTCCAAGTCTTGGCTAACAGCCCAGCTCAGAGGGTTCTACCCAGGGCTCAAACTCAGACACACGCAATGCTGCCTACCAGAAGGCTGCCTCGGCAGCCTTGTCACAGCGGTACCTGACCCCTTCTCACACAGCCTCGTCAGAAACCACAGCCTGCCTCCTTCGATTCCCTCTCCAGAGAGATGGCGTGGGCACACGACAGGTAACGCATCCTATCAGAAGCCCGGGGAAGCGGCAGTCTCGAAAGAGCAGAGGAACCACAGCCGACGCTGTAGCTTGCGCAGGGAAGGCGGAGGGAAGGGAGTTCTTACACGGGCACTTTTATATGTGTATATACACATACACGCATGTATATAAATCAAACAGCCAATGATAAAATTGAGGTAATGGGCTAACACTTAAAATTTCCTAAAACTACGAAAAGACAACAAAAATTGGTTGTACGTATTTCTTTATCTAAGAATTCTATACTCCAGCATTCGACTGCCTTGAGGTAACAGACTCCATTTGGAAGCTTTATGGTAAAGGTGATGTCCATACTGTTATCCCCAGCCTTCCTCATTCTAGCTGGACTGTGTGACCCATGACTAGACTGAAAGCCCCATTGCCTGTAATAAACAATCGCTGCAGTTTCTGAAATAGTCCATGTTGCAAAATAGTCACCAACCTTCACTTTTCCCCCATATTTTTAGAATTTGGTATAACGAAAACATTGAGACATTTAATTTTACCGTGACAATGTAAAAATTCACAAACTTATTGGTTTATGCCCCACATTATCCCAGACAGGAGAAGGTTCAACACTGCATGAGCAAACCACGTGACACGGACACAGTCAAATCACAGGACAAACACGGTCACCACACGACAAAGCTAACGGGGTCATACACCGAGGGCTCGGGCGCATACGGCTACCTCACACACTAGGCACCAAACATCGAACTCGAACTCAGAAAAATGCTTACTCTATTCCCCACCCTGTGCCTCCAAAAATCACCCCCAAGGCCAGAATGGTCCCTGCCACTGCACCTATCAGCCTGTTAGTGGCCATGCTCACTGTGCGGAGGGAAAAGGGAAGATTTTTTAAGGAAATGATCACATATATGTCTGAAATGAAAACATGAAGTAATTCCTGAGAGGAATATTTTACTCTATAATCCCATCATCGGACAAACAACCTCCTAACAAACCTTTATTTACCAAATAGTGCAGCTTTAAAATTTCTGAGATGACCTGTGTTGGCTTTTCTTTGAATGCCTGCAAATACTTCAAAGAGAAGTTTTCCTGTAAACATAAGGCTATTCCTTTTAGCTTGTGATTCTACTATTTACTTTAAAAGGGGATATCCTCAACTTACTACTTAAAACAGCCAAAATGGAAATAAGTCACCAGAAAGAAAACTTCCTTTTGATCATCAGAAACTTACTGTATCCATAATGTAACTAAGCAAATGAAAACTCTTTGTTTGGAAACAGTGCCATCGCAGGAAAAGGAAAACACCCAACTTTTCAATTCACTCCTTGACTGGTTCGTAATATTCTCCTTTGTTACTGCATTTGTCGACAGGACTCCCTATCTACACGACCTGAAGACAGATGACACCTTTTAAAAGGAAAAGCCTACCCCAGAAACATGCTTCAGGCAACACCCCGGTATTTCACCATGTTCAGGTATTCTGTTCTTACGGCATCGAGGCCTTATTTCTCATTTTTAAGGGAACCCTTTTGAGAAAAAACACCTGCACATCTCCTGTATTAAAGATGAACAGCTTGGCAGATTCACTGAGTCATCACAGACCACCAGGAAGCAGCTGAACTCCCTGTCTAGCAAGAACTTTTCCCAGAGAAACACACTTGACTGTCTTTCTGCTGAATGGTCTGTTTTGAAATGGCTTTGTAATTTTTTCCTGTTCCATAAATATACACAAACACACACACACGCACGAGACATAGGTTTGATATTAACAGACACACACTGTTCCACTTCCCACTAGTCACACAAAGGCCTAATTCTGCCAGTGAAGGTGCAAAGGAAGAATCTGGAGTGCATATGGAGGCCTCGGATTTCGAAGGTACCAGCCAGCGCTCTAAGGCAACTCGGAGTTTGTGCAGCAGCCAGACCAACAGCGAGAACTCCGTCCGCTGCCAGCGTGCACCGCAGGACTGCTAGCACAGGAGCCAGTAGGTTCCCGAGGTTAGAGTAATCCGAGACTCAGGTATTCTGTAAACTAAGGACCACCAATTTTTTACATCCTGGAATACAGTGCAAAGCCAAAAGCAACTGGTGGAAAGGTCTGAAAAGTTTAGCAGGAGAAGCCGTCAACTGTCAGTTATCACAACAATATGTAAGTAAATGGCAATACTCCCTAGCTGTACATGCTCTCACTGCAGTAAGACCCTTGGATTTATACTGTGGAAAAACCTAACTTATCACCTAGTAAGTGCTCTGCTTCTGAAACGCAGCCGATCTCAAATTCCACGCCAAGGAAAAACAAGTATTTTTGTTTCTGTCTCAGAGTTGTAAACTAGCATATGACTGGGGGAGTGCTGGTAGAAAGGGGAAAAAACTTATGGGAAGCTATTTTAGCACACTGGATCTCCACAGTACAGAAACTACTTCTGTATTCTTCTGGCAACTTCTCACAAAGGAGCTCCTCTCAGCACAGCAAGAGAGATTATAGGAGCTGCCAGTGTTCAGGCACCTAAATTAACTTCTAGGTGATTCAACATCAATAAATTACTACAACAAAAGTAAAAATAATCCATCTTTTGAAATCATTGAGCCCCCTTGTACAAAATCTCATTCTGCCTTGTTGCAGAGGGCTCCACTGAGAAGAGCAGCCTAAACTTTGTACCTGCAGGCAGAAATCCATGCACACACTATTCATTTAAGATCTTTTTCCCCAGAATATTTCATCACTGACCTATTAATTTTCCTAAAGGCATTTCCATTCTGAATTAGACGAGTTAACCTGACTTACAAAAATCTACCCAAGGTAAGCACACCTTCTGTGTTGCCTCTCCTACAGACCTTTTTACAGAGAAGGGAGTTCTTTCTTACCCACAGAATCACATCCTCTCTGTCACAACTGCTCTCCTCATCCACACACAGAGAGAAGGAACCAGCTCTGGAGTGCTGTTCTCCACTATTATGTTTAAAACTCGGTAAGCAGCGTTCCACAGTTAGGAAAGATTTTATGGGAGACAGGATGACAAGTAGCTTTGTAAGACAGGGTGCAACCCAGGCAGCTCTACACTGACCAGTGCCAGGGTGAGGAGTCCAGGAGGCACCTGCACAGATCCCCTAATACAATCTGGGCTGTTCTGGAGAGCCTCCTTCAGCGCAGTAACTTGTTTTAAGACAAACTCTTGAGCAGTTCTTGGTAAAGGTCTACTGGAATCGTTCTGCTACGGGGCAAAAGGTTAAGGCACACAAGACAGAAGTAGAGCCTTTCTGGGGGAATGTACCAAAATCCTGTCCGCCCTTAAAACCCTGGCTGTTGTAAAGAGTAATTTCCTAGAGCCTGAGCTGTAGGGGCTGCATTCTCTGTCATTTATAGGGAATTTTGTCTGTAAACGCCTAACACTAGTTACCCAAACAGCCTAGTGTTGGGACAGTGTCCTGATGACAGGAGACACAAACAAACTGGACAGCACAGTCCAGAAGCATTCTTTGTCAGAGAGACTTTTCTTCCTGTTTGAAAATCTTTTTTTATGAAATATTTCCTCAATGGCGCCTGTTTGTATTTATACTCCATATACAGCTGAATAACTACTAAATACGTAAGAGTACACAGTAATGATCACATGAATAATTAGGTGCCTAAAGTCTTAATTGATTTCTTTTTCCTCCCACTGAAATCTGATTTCAAGGCACGAAAGCTTCTTTCACCAGGGATATTCCACACTCTGGCATAGCTGAAAACAACTAAGGGAAGTGGAAATCTTTAGTAAAACATAAATACTCAGTTATCAAATAAGAGACACACTTAGACGTCAATTACAAAGAAAATGATTGTAAAAAAAAGAATAAGGGACAAAGGAAAAACTGGAAAGTACATACCATTGCCTACTGAAACCTTCCCCAAATTTAGATTACAAAAATAACAGTTTCAACAATTCTCAAAGCAGAAAGACCTACTTTATCTACACGAAGCAGATTTTTACTGTCTGTGGCTACACAGGACTGCACAGTAGTATTCTCTTTCTATATGCTAATTCTACTACCAAGTATCAACAGAGAAACGTCATAAATACTGGAAAGAACACCAAAACTGAAATCACACAAACCCTTGGGTCCTTCGTCCTTCTTGCCACCAGTATCCCTGATAGGATCATCAATACTGCAGTCTGTCCCAGCCCAGGAGAAGTTACAAATGCAAGTGGCTTCATTGCTGCAAACCTGGAAGAGGAAATAAGTGACAACAGTTGGTTTTTAACTACATTTTACTAAGTTCATTTAACATGCAATTGGGTATTCAATTCACAGTATAAAACCAACCCATTTTTGTACTGTACAATAGCACCAAGTGCTTACAATGAGCATAGTACATCAGTAACCTGAAAGTTTGCTTTAACCCTCTAAATACACTCAGTTGCTAGCAAAAACCCAAGTGTTCCCAATGGTTCCATCGTCACTTGCACAGGATGTAAAAAACTAAACTCTCATCCAGAAATGACCCCTACCTAGACTAGCCAGATCTTCACTCACCAACTGACTACACTTTGAGCATGGATGTCCAGAAGGAGTACAAGCATTTGTGTTTAAAAGGTTCAAGGCATGACCGTGCTTTACCACCGCTCATTTACAGCTTGCTCCTGTGCAGAAAAAATAGTAATATTTTCATTGATTTTGTCATCATTTTTTTCTAGGCAGCAATGAGGAGTGTTTGCTTCTCCTCTAGAAAGAGAGGAAATAGTTCTTCCTAAGTCCACATTTAGTTGAATGGCCTCTATAAGAGGAGTTGGGACTCACTAAAATTGGCAGTACCTTTGTCAGATACCGGAGAACCTATCCAACTGACAAAACCTAAAATACCAAACAACAATGAAAGCTAATAGCTACAAACCTTCCATATGAAAAAGAACACGGAATGTGTTGCTAGAAGAGGTTACTAAGGAGAAAGCATGATGTGAGAAACAGACACAAGAGAATGAGGTTTTGAGTATGGGACTAGAAGTGAACCCGGTCATCAGGCATCAGCTAATAATGTCTTTTGGACACTGGAACACAATGTCAAACAAACCAGAAGATCACCTGCACACTAGTGACTGCAATAAGTAGTACATGTGGTTCTCTCGCTCTACTTCTTAAAGTATTCATTAAGAATCTTCTCTGGGAAGCTGAAGATAAACACATCTATGGCAGGTTTGATCAACTGAAGTACCTTGTTAAGATTGTGAACTGGAGTAATCCAAAGCCAAACAAAGAAGGTAACACAGTTAAAAATTTTTCCTGATGTTGAACTTAACTCTCTTCTTTGAAGCACTCAAATTCATCTTCAATTACACATAACAAGAAGGAAAAACCCACCTGTGTAAAGTCTCGCCCCTTAGGCGAGTATCCATCCACAGTGGAAAGGTTTTACCAGTGTTACAGCTAAGACATGGAACAGTGAGTGTTCATCAAAACACACCTGACTGCTTAGACAAACAGGCTTATGGGTAGGCTAACAGACAAGAATGTGCCTGAATGGAAAAAGATGTATTCTTCTTGAGCAGACACAGAGCGTATCATCTCCGCTGAGTTCCAACACTTTAGAATTTTAATTAAGTCATGAGGTGTAACCCCATCAACCCAGGGCCAACTTTATAAAGGTGTTAGCATGCAGGAAAAAGTTTAACCGAAGGTGCAGGTAGCTGGAAATATGGGTAGTACCTCACAGAAGTCTTTACAATAACTGATGTCAACACTCCTTCTTGCTAGTAACGAACACAGCACCTGGGATGTAACTGCAGAACTGATTTGACAGCTTTGCTTTCTAAAATTTTACCTGTGCTTCACAGAATGGCAGCCTTTCCCTGAATCTAACATCTGTGTTTTCAGGTCTTAGGAACACTTTCAGGCAGAGCACTCCAGTGGGTACATTACGATCAGGTAGCGCAGAGGCAGCGGGAGCAGCTTAGCTGCAAACTCACCCCATGACCGGAACAGACTTTCCCGTTAGAACCAATGGGACAGCTGCTGATGTTCAAGGACTGAATTGGCAGGCACTTTTTGTCCAGACACATCATGTGAGGTCCACATGGAGCTCCATCCTCCACATAACCTAAATCTGTATCGTCATCTAAAAGAACATGAGCACCACTAGGAGAAAGAAGTTTTAAGATACAGTTAATATTATGACTGGATTCTTTTGAAAATATTAAACATATCAGTGGATACTAGAAGCCTTGTACTTTTTCCTCATTCAAGCACACAGACAGGTTGAACAAAGTTATAGTGTTTTTCTGTCTGTCCACAAACAAGGTGTTCTAGTTGTCAGACCAAAAAGAAGTCCAGATAATGACCTAAATACTGAAAAAGGGCACCTTAGCCTTTGGATTATTTTATGTCTTTGATCGGCAGTGCTGGTTTTTTGATTTATTTTTGTTGTCCCCAAATGCTGTGAAACACTAATACTAGAAAAGTATTAAAAAACTTATTGCCCGTGTGATGATCAGGAGGATAACTAACTCACATTTTGCCCTCTTTAACAGCATTTTTATTTTTTTTAGTAAAAAAAAATATACTGTTCAGCATAATGATTTTGATCTAATTACCTAAAAATCATACAATTTTACTATGTTTATCTTAATTCAATTAGGTCTGTTGGAGCAAAATCATGTAGGAACACTGCAATATTTTTACCTGCAGTCCACTATTCGTCCTTGATGATAAAAAGAATTTGGGATAATTTCTCCTTGAACTTGACCAACTCGTGGAACTTTAGTAAGATTAGTACAGAGCAAAAAGCCACAGAAAACATCACTGTAAAAGGAAACCATAAATCAAAAAGTTACTGGAGTAATACAAAGTAGACTTACAAAAAAGACACCCTGGCAAAACGCTGCTGAACACAGTAAGTAATGTGTTACCATATGCCACAGGGTCGACTTTCATTGTACCAGCCTAAATAAATAAAATACTATTTGACATAAGTGACAAGAAGCAGAAACAAGTGATCTCCCTCTGTTCTCTGATCTCCCTCTGCACCAGCAGCAAACGATGTGTCTGTGCTCTGAATACAATACAGTGCAGTTAAGAGGAGCCAAAGCCCTACAAAGCTTTGTCACATCAGGCTAAATTACATCTCGGGTGCCCAACATTACCATGGGGTTTGAATTTTTAATTGTATTTTATTTCCCTTGCAGGACCACAGAATCGTAACAACAAGCAGTAGCATGCAGTGTGTGTGCCTAAATTTTGGCAAATCATCTGCTTTATGGGATGTTATATGTGCAATCTTCACCAGAAGGATATCAGCTTACAACTCCCATCTCTTACTCTAATTGGCCGAAGTCAGAAGCAACTGCATGAGCGCTGGGAATTGTATTGGTCAGAGTTGCAACAGATTTACACGGCCCTTCAGCTAGACCTTTCTTCTGCATCTCTCTACTGACCAAGAGAAGCTTTTATACAAATGAGGCTTTCAATATGCAGATCAGAACAACACTATTCTCATCTAAGTATGAAAGAAAAACCCATGAAACAAGATCTTTGCTCATGATCCTATCTGAAACGTTAACCATGCCATCAAAAAAAAAGCCACTTGACAAACACCACAAAGAGGGAAAAGACCATTCTGAGGCTGAAATTTTTACATGCATACTTAAAAATGACAGAACATTAAGTAAATGAGGAGAAACTTAGTCTATCCACTAATGATCATTAACTTGAAAAGTAAACTTAATAAAATATTGATCAAGTAATGATCACATGCAAACGAATCAGCCATTGTCTCTATCGCATCCGAAAGTCTATGGTCCTCTCTGGGCAAAACAAAGGTACAAACTCAAATAACGTCGCCTGGTATTGGACCCAGTAAAAGTGGGGTGTCTGCTGGCAGCCAAACTTATCCCTACAATCTGATGTGTCTGTATGTTATGAACTTGTGACTTGGCCTTGTCCCCCCCGATCCTCTGACAGAATTAAAGTCATACTACATTCTCCTGAAAATCTGGAGCTCTTTAAAGGTGTAGTGCTGAGCCACCCATGGGTTTGTCAGGATGAGCTATGGGACTCTGTCAAGATGCACAGCTGGTGAAGAAAAGAGGATCCAAAAGAATGCAAAGCAAACCGCTGAAGCATTCATGAAAAAGTAGACAATATTAAACCTGTATTTAACTATTTAAAATACAAATAATCTACCAAGCTGAACTTACTGTTTGCTACACTGAATCCATCGGTCTCCATCCTTTCCGCAGTTCCCTTTTTTGGTGCCTTCTGTATTAAGCTTCTCGTAACAAAACTTGTCCGACCCTGAAGACTCTGTTGAAAGGAAAAAGGAAGGTGAGCACTTTGAAAATCTGCGTCATCTCCTGCAGCAGCGCTCTGTGTTTCTACTACAAAGCATAAATCTGACCACACGCCTGTGTCCGCAGACGGTATCTGCAGTGACTACAGTGGGACCCTGGCAGGCTGAACTGCACTACCCAAAGCCCAGGCAGAACTGCTTTTCTAAAATAATGCTCCATGTTCAAAACTAGCACTGAACGTTGAAAAAAGCAACCGCTGCAGTCTCTCTGTCGTCTTCTGCATTTTAACTTATCTGTGGTCTGAGTGTTCACTTCGTAACAGCTGCAGGCAGATTTAATCCAGTTTGCACTGCAGCGATTCCCGATCTGTGTTTCAGGAGATCAAGGACCTTACACACGGCACACACCACAAGCACATGGTGGGACATCCACTCCATATTTAACTGATTTTATTTTAGCAGTTCACAAAGAGAACAAGGTTGAACAGAGTGCAATTTCTACTGCTTTTTAGGAGTAGAAATCTGAACTAGTATGTTTCAAACCACGACTATTTTCTAACAAAACCCATTTGTTTTTTCTAAAAACCAATTTAAAAAAGAAAAGAAAATCCCAATAATTATACAGAGGAAGGTAAAATATCACAGGTGAGTAAGAGTAGTTTCAGTAAAATCACTTGCACAGAAGACAAACCAACTATTTTTAAATGTAAGACATAGAAATTGGTTAACAAAACCATCTATTGCCTTTAATAAATGTGAGGTGGAAACACAAAGCTCAGAAAGGGATCAGAAGGCAAAGCAAATGTTGCCTCTATCCAATTTTACATCTTTTATATTTATGTATCATCTTTTACATTGCACAGGACAAACAATAAATGTCTCCCTCCCATCTTCCCTAGAATGCAAGGATTGTTCTGCCCCAAGCAGGCAGCGTGGGCAGTGGGAGTTACGACTAGACAAACCACACATGGAAAGCATCGCGTGCTGGAGTGCAGGACACCCGCCAGTTCCGCTCTGCTGGACTGCCTCAAGGTCGTTATGGAGAGCATTTTTACCCCCTTGGCTGCAAGAAAAATCCATTGCAACAGCAATTCTACTTCACTGGACACCTCTGGGCTTAAAAT